GTGTGTGTGTGTGTGTGTGTGTGTGTGTGTGTGTGTGTGTGTGAGAGAGAGAGAGAGAGAGAGAGAGAGAGAGAGAGAGAGAGAGAGAGACAGAGGTGCGAGTGTGTTTGTTCTCTCATGTGTGCTGGCATCTTTTTCTCAGCCTGTCTGGTGTAAAGCTAGTCTGGTGTTATGGACAATTTCTTGCAAGAGTGTCTTTCCTCCCCTGTGGTAACCTGGTTCACTTGTGAGACAGTCGCCTGGTTGGTGTGGCGACGATTACCCGCCTGGATCCCTGTGTATCTTGGGGTCGTGATTAATTGCCAACTAACTTACTGTTAATAGTGTATGTGTGCTGATTGTTGGCTTAAACCGCCAGTATATCCGAAAAAGGAGATTGACCCTCTCCTGAAAAATAGGAGGCCATGAACCGTCGATTCATTTTATCGACGGCCCATGGCCTCCGAATTTTTAGGAGGGCCCAATCTGTTTTTTCGTATGTAGTGGTGGCTTTTAAGTGGGCTATATTTCGTGCGATATGCTGTATGAAACTTGCCACTTTCTGCAGCCCCATCATAGCTTCCTCGTCTTCCTTTCTGCTATCCTCTTTTCCCTTTTTGAAAGTGAGCTTGGGCGAAGATTGAGCTCCCAGTCTGAAAAGAGCCAGCTTCTATTCAGGTAAATAGGAGGCCACATGTTATTTTTCCCCCTTGCTTCTTGCTCTTCCTTCTTTTCTGTTTTTTCCCTCTTCTTAGTTAGTCAGGTACTGAGGAAAGTATTCCTTTGTTGGTTGTCTTCTTTCTCAAGAAAGAGGTGTCTAAGATGCGCCTTCTAAAATCTTCTTGTTCATGGTTTGTTGGTTGGTCCGTTGTCCTCTCCTCTTCTGCATGTGCACAGAGAAGAATGATGCATGCAATTCAAAACCGTGCGGGCCTGCTGGTTCCTGCAATCCTCAGCCAGATGGAACTTACTTGTGCGACTGCGTCCCTGGATACAAAGTGAAAGTAGCCAATGGTCCCTGCGAAGGTATGTGGACCCTCCTGGAAGCTCTTGAGGTTAGGTTAACCAGCCCTCCATACTTTTTGAGCGCTTGGTTTACGCTCTCTGTTTTTTATGCTTGAACGATCTTCTTCAGTTCGCCATCGACCTATCCTTATTTGCTCACTGTGTTTCTGTTATTGACATATAGTTCTGTTGGTAGTGCGTCAGTGGTGCGTGTCCCTTGAGGTGTCAACTTGGCGGCTGTACTTGCCTAACTAATGATCAATGTTCACCCTCTTGCGGGCGCTTTGAAGTCTTT